AGGTGTGCTGAGGCTGGAGGAGCCGGCTGAGTGCCCGGAGGTGAGGCGAGGTGAGGGGCGGGCGGGCGCGGCTCAGCGGTGTCGGGCGGGACTTCGCAGCGTACGCCGCCGGGATAGCCCGCCGGGGACACTGCACCTGGGCTGGGGCTGGGGTTGCGGGAGACACCCTGCCATCCGGCCTCCTCCAGTCATTTTAGGCCGAGGTCCCCTGGCAGAGGCCTGGATTGGGGATCTTAAAGCTATTTTAACAATAGTTATTGTTACCCCCATTTTGAGAACGGAAGAAATAAATTTGTCACTGTAACGCAATTGATAGGCTTTATGACAAGGTTCATCCCTAAACCTTCTGACTTAAAAAAAATGTAATTTTTTTGTAATGTTCTTGCTGAAGGAAGGGGTTGTGTGGATGAAACACAAAAGGAATGATCTCGACGATCAGGAGAGTTCTGTAACAATGGGAATTTTGTTGTTTTTCAATTATATCCCCCCCATCTTTAAATTTTTAGTGGGGCTCGAAGTGGTAGTGCATTGGTGTAATCACAGTACTTGAGAGGCAGAGGTAAGTAGAAGCAAATTGAAGACCAGCCTAAATTACACAGGCTAGCCAGGGATACAAATGGAGGCACTGTCTCCAAAGGTTTCTATTTTAAATAGCCAGCATGGGGCTCATGCTTATAATCCCGGCCCTCAGGAGGCGAGGCAAGAGGATTGCAAGTTCAAAGCCAACCTGGGAAACATTTGAGGACAGTCAGGGCTGCATATAGCAAGACCTTATCCCCAAAAAACAAAACAAAAAAATTAATTATACCAGGATATTGGTACTTTAGCCTTTAAAAAATTATATTTTATGTGTATGAGAGTTTTGCCTGCGTGGATGCAAGTGCACCCACCCATGTCATGCAGTGCCCTCAGTTCTGAATTCTCCAAAACTGGAATTACAGACAGTTGTTAGCCACCATATGGGTGCTAAGAACCAAACGTGTGGTCCTCTGCCAAAACAGCTAGTGCTCTTAACCACTGACCCATCTCTCCAGCACCTGTTTAGCCCTTTTGACCATGAACTCCTGTTAAAAATTGTGAGGTGTAGGGGCTGGAGAGATAGCTCAGTGGTTAAGAACACTGACTGCTCTTGCAGAGGACCTGGGTTTGATTCCCAGCACCTACATGGTGGCTTCGAACTGTCCTTAACTCCAGTTCCAGGGGAATCCGAAGCCCTCTTCTGACCTCCTTCTGACCTCGGCGGGCATTGCATGAAATGGGTGTACTTACACACATGCAGGAAATACACATAAAAAATAATAAAAATTTTTAAAAATTGAATTCCTGGAGGGAGGAACTTGCTGCCCTGAGTGCAGATGAAGTAGACCTTCAATTTCCTAGACTCCATCAGCTACATAAAATTTTAAATTGTCTTAAGTTCCTCACCCATTTTTTCAGGTTGGGTTTGTGCTTCCAAAATGTTTGATAAATACACTTTTGCCATTTAAGCTCCCTTTATCCTTCATGTGAACTGAAATACCTCTTGGCTGTACTCTGAGATTCCTTTCTTATACCTTTCCTTTTCATTCACTGAAATATCAGAATAGTTATCTAAAAATGGTGGTCCATCCCTGAAAATCCAGCACTTGGGAAGAGGCAAGATGATCATGAATTCAAGGCCAGGTTGGACTATGTAATAAAACTCTGTCTCAAAAAACTAAACTACAAAAATTTTTTAATTACATATGTGTGTATGTTTGGATAGATAGATAGATAGATAGATAGATAGATAGATAGATAGATGATAGATAGATAGATAGATAATAAAATAGTACCAAAGTTTAATAGCATGAGAACAAATTGAGTTGGGCGTGGTGGCGCACGCCTTTAATCCCAGCACTCGAGAGGCAGAGGCAGGCGGATCTCTGTGAGTTCAAGGCCAGCCTGGTTTACATAGTGAGTTCCAGGACAGCTGGGGCTTCAGGGAGACCCTGTCTCAAAAAGACCAAAAAAGAAAAAATTGAGGGCCAGGTATAGTGGCGCATACCTGTAATTCCGGTACTAAAAAGTGGAGGCAGGAGTTTAAAGCTAGGCCAGGCATGGTAGCATGCTTGTTTTTTTTTTTGGTTTTTTTTTTTTTTTTTTAGATAGGGTCTCATTCTATAGCCCTTGTTAGCCTGAACCTCAGTACGCAGGCTGGCCTAGAACTTATAGTAACCCTTTTGCCTCTACCTCCTAAACTCTGGGATTACAGGAGTTTGCCACCACACCTGCCTCTTAACAGAGCTATTTTAATTCATAGATAAAAATTATAGTAGGCTCAGCCGAGTGTGGTAGTGCACACCTTTAGTCCCAGCACTTGGGAGGCAGAGGCAGGCGGATCTCTGAGAGTTTGAGGCCAGCCTGGTTTACATAGTGAGTTCCAGGTCAGCTGGGGGCTACAGGGAGACCCTGTCTCAAAATGACCAAAAAAAAAAAAAAAATTGTAGCAGGCTGGTGAGATGGTTTAGTGAGTAAAGGCATTTGTGGCCAAGCCCAACAACCCAAGTATAATCCCTGGGACCCTCATATGGTAGAAGAAGAGAACCAACTCCCAAAGGTTATTTGACTTCCACTTCTGTGCCATGACATTCGTACACATGTGTATACGCACACTAAATAAAATGTAATAAAAAAATTAACAGTTGTTGGAGTATAAACTAATATACTCTGCAGCCTTTATAGGGATCAGTTTGGCAGTAGGTACCAAATGTCATATGAGACTGGCACATTGCCTGCTGCACTAAGGCACTTCAGATGTCTTAGAACTGTGCATGTCTTTAGACATAAAAATTTAAGAAATGAGCCAAAGCCGGGTGTGGTGACACACACCTTTAATCCCAGCATTCAGGAGGCAGATAGAGGCAGATCTCTGTCACTTCAAGGCCAGCCTGCGGTACATAGCCAGTTCCAGACCCTGTCTCCAAAAGACCAAAAACTGGGGCTGGAGAGATAGCTCAGTGGTAAAGAACACTGGCTGTTCTTGCAGAAGGCCTGGGTTTGAGTCCTAGCACCCACACAGCAGCTAACAACTATCCATAACTCCAGTTCCAGGGTATCCAGCAACCTCTTCTGTCCACAGGCTTTGCACGACACTGGTGCACTTACCTACATGCAGGCAATACATGCATACACATAACATAAAAATAATATATTTTTTTAAAGATTTATTTATTTGGGTCTTTTTGAGACAGGGTCTCCCTGTAGCCTCAGCTGGCCTAGAACTCACTATGTAGACCAGGCTGGCCTCAAACTCACAGAGATCCGCCTGCTTCTGCCTCCCAAGTACTGGGATCAAAGGAGTGTGCCACCATGCCCAGCAAAATAATAAAATCTTTTTTAAAAAGACCAAAAAATATAAATTTAATAAATTATAAATTAAATAAAATGATAGAAGTTGGGCATGGTGACACACAACTTTGATCCTGTGCTCAGGAGGCAGAGGTAGATACCTGTGATAGTAAGGCCACCCTGGTCTACATAGCAAGTTCCAGGTCAACCAGGAACCCGCTGCATAATTAGACCCTGTATTTAAAAAAAAAAAAATGATGGGTGTAGTGGTGAACTCCTTTAATCCCAGCACTCACTTTGGAGGCAGAGGCAGGCAGATCTCTCTTGAGTTTCAGGCCAGGCAGTGCTACATGGTGAGACCCTGTCTCACAACAACAACAAAGAATTTACAATCTGTTGGAAAAGTCAGCCAAGAAATAAGCAATTAAAAGTGTGAACCAGGGGCTGGAGAGATGGTACAGCAGTTAAGAGCACTCACTCCCCTTTCAAAGGGCTCAAGTTCTGTTCCCAGTGTCATGAGGTTCACAGCCACCTGTAACTCCAGCTCCAGGGGATTCAATGCCCTCTTCTGGTATCTGTGGGCACTACATGCACTTTGTGTGGACACTCAGAGCATCTATTCACATAGACACACATACACATAAAATAATTTTTTTTTAATTGCCAGGCATGGTGGCACAGTCCTGTAGTCCCAGCACTTGGGAGGCAGGGCATGAGGATCTCTTAATTCAAGGCCAGCCTCTTCTACATAGTGAGTTCCAGACCAGCTGTGGCTACAGGGAGACCCTGTCTCAAAAAGACCAAAAACAACCACCACCAAATCAGATAAAAAAGGATTGTAGACATTTAAACTTTTTATGATGCTGGGCACGCCTTTAATCCAGCACCTGGGAGGCAGAGGCAGGTGGATCTTTGTGAGTTCAAAGCCAGTCTAGTCTACATAGCAAGTTCTAGGCCAGCTGAGGCTATAGGAAGACCCTGTCTAAATATATATATATCGGAACTATGTAGATTAGACTGGCCTCAAACCCAGAGATCTGCCTATCTCTGCCTCTCAAATGCTGGGATTAAAGGTGATTGCCACCACACCCATCTACATTTATTATTTGTGTGTGTGTGTGTGTTGGTTCAAGTGTGCCATGGCATGTGTGGAGATCTGAGGACAGCTTTCAGGAATAGTTCTCTCCTTCCACTGTGTAGGTCTTGAGGATTAAACTTAGGTCATCAGACTTGAAGTAAGTGCTTTTACCTGCTGAGCCCCCTTTACCAGCCCCGGTATTTCCTTAGATCATTTTTAAAAAATAAAAATGTAAGCCAGATGCAATGGCACATACCTGTAACCCCAGGAATCCAAAAGCTGAAACAGAAGGATTCCTTGGGTTCAGTACCAGCCTGGACAACATAGTGAGACTTTGTCACCCAAAAAAAAAAAAAAAAAAAAAAAAAAAATTATAGCAGATTTGAACCCAGTTCATCCAAGCAGCTTTACAACAATAATGAAAAAGTGCAGCCCAATAGCAGTGCCAAGAGAACGGTATGGGGGCAGGAGGGAAGAAGGCTTTAGCTTCAGAAAGTGCAAGAAAACTTAGCTTCCACACCGTTCCCTTCTGAACAGACATTCTGACATTCTACTCATGGAGACAGCACCACAACCCCCAGGTCTGTTCTCCCATGTTGCAGGTTTTGAAAGCCTTTTCAATAAACATCTTGTCTCAGACTTTGACCCTTTTCTTGTTCCTGGGTTTCAGAACCATGTGTGCTCAGTACTGCATCTCCTTTGCCGATGTTGAAAAAGCTCATATCAACATTCGAGAGTCTATCCACCTCACACCAGTGCTAACAAGCTCCATTTTGAATCAAGTAGCAGGGCGCAGTCTTTTCTTCAAATGTGAACTCTTCCAGAAAACTGGATCTTTTAAGGTAAAAATCCATTTTGTTAGTGTACCATGTATGTTTTTTAAACCTCTGCATTTGATTCTTCTGATTACCAGTGATGTAGGTAGAAGAAAATTAAATATTTTTTTACAGATGGAAACAAAAGTTGGAATTTTTTAAGTCCTGGTTATCTTGATTTATAGTATTGATATCCTATTCTTACACAATCTAAAAGCCCCTTATAATTATGGTCATATACATAATTGTCAAAGTTTATAATTTATTGTTCAAATTAGGACTTTCTTGAGAAACAAAGAACTTCTAAAGATTAAACAAAAGCCCAGTTTAGTGGCTTATGCCTATAATCCCAACATATGGGAGATTGAGCTAGGAGGATCAGGAGTTCAAGGCCAGCTTTGGCTATATAGTAAAGTTGAGACTTGCCACAGCTGCCTAAGACCCTGACTCAAAAACGTAAAACAAAACTAAGACTAAACTAAAATATGCCAGACACAGTGGCATGCACCTGTGTTCCAAACTAGTATGGAGACAGTGTGGAGGACTCAGTTGCAGAGGACCCAGGTTCAGTTCCCAGCACCCACATGGCAGCTAACAACTGTTGAGAACTCTAGTTTCAGGGGATCTGATGCTGTTATCCCGCCTCCACAGGCACTGCACCAAGTGATGTATTTATATACATGCAGGCAAAACATTCATACACATAAATATTTTTTTAAATATTAAAAAAAAAAATCTGCCAGGCGTGGTGGCACACACCTGTAGTCCCACCAGCACTTGGGAGGCAGAGGCAGGCAGATCTCTGTAAGTTCAAGGCCAGCCTGGACTACATAGTTCCAGGACAGCTGGGGCTACAGTGAGACCCTGTCTCAAAAAGATAAAAACAAAAAAACAAAACAAAAAAACCCAAAGAGCGTCTTCTATGACTTATTCATTCACACATGATGCATTTTAAAAATTACATTTATTTTTATTGGATTTTTGTGTATTTCATACATAAAATCATCTTTATACTGCCTCCTTCCTCCTCTGGCACCCCCATAGAGTTTATACATTCTGTCATTTGTGTTAAGGCCTATTATGTAGCGTCCTGAGATGTCCCTCAGTGCAAGTTCATCCACCAGGGTTTAGTCAGCCCATCTAGAGTCTCTCCCTTGGAGAAGATCAGCTCTCCTTACTCCCCAAAATTACATTTATTGTGTTATGGAGGGGTGCACATGTGCCATGGTACACATGTAGAGGTCAGAGGACAACTTAGTCTGTTTTTTAAACCATGTGGGTCCCAGGGATCAAACCATCTCCCTAGAGGCACTTTTATCAGGCACTCTACTAGGTCTGTATACATATGATTTGCCTGAGGAAATCATACTTGCAGGGGAAAGCCAAACTGTTTAATAGGTGGATAAGAACTATCTTAGAAAAGATAGAAATAAGATACCACGGAATAAAATAGCACATAGCAGTTACTTTTTGCCTGGAGATCAAGGAATTTGAACTAGATGACAGCTGTGCCAAGTTTGTTTTTTTTTTAAATATTTTATGTGTATGCATGTATTGCCTGCATGTAGGTATGTGCACTCATGTCCTGCAGTGCCTGCGGAGGTCAGAAGAGACTGTTGGATCCCCTGGAACTGGACTTATGGACAGTTGTTAGCTGCCATGTGGGTCTTCTGCTGTGTTCTTAACTGCTGAACCATTTCTCCAACACCCAATTCATTTTTTTTTAAATGTGTATGAGTGTAGTGCCTGCATGTGTTGTGCAATGCCTGAGGCCAGAAGAGGGCATCAGATCCCCTGGAACTGGAGTTACTGTTTTGTTTTGTTTTTTTAATTTTTATTTTATGTGTATACAACATGTATTGCCTGCATGTGTATAAGTGCACCCATGTCATGTAATGCCCGTGGAGGACAGAAGAGGATGTCCCATCCCTTGGAACTAGAGTTATGACAGTTGTTAGCTGCCATGTATGTACTGGGATTCGAACCTGGGTCTTCTGTAAGAACAGCCAGTGTTCTTTACCGCTGAACCATCTCTCCATCCCCTAGGTTATTAGCCACCATGTGGGTACTGGGACTCAAACCCAGGTCCTTTGCAAGAGCTCTTAACTTCTAAAGTCATCTCTCTAGTATAGTTTTACAGGATGTTTACGGTTAGGACTATCATGTTCACAGGTGCAGGAGCGTAAGCTAGCCTAGCAGAGAAATGAAGCAATTTAGGATGCCTGTGGCAGTGATAGACGTGTTTGTTACAAAGACTTCAACTAGAAAGGAATCTGCCTTAATAAAATTAAAAAAACAAACAAACGAACAAAAAAAAAACTGGCACCCACATGGCTGCTAACAACTGTCCATAACGCCAGTCCCAGGGGATCCGACAGCCTCTTCTGACCTCCGAGGGCACTGCATGACAGGTGCACTTTACCTACAGGCAAGCAATACACGCATACATGTTAAATAAAAATAAATTTTTTTAAAAAAAGGAATCTGCCTTACAGAACAAAAAGACCAGTCAAATTATCAGAGTGGTGGCTCATGCCTATAATCCCAGCACTCGAGAGACAAGAGGCTGAGATAGGAGGATCACCTAGGTAGGTTCAAGGGCAGCCTGGGCTACAGTATGAGTTCCAGGTCAGCCTGGGCTACTTCAGTGAAATGCCACCTTTCAAAATAAAAGGAAGGGAGGAAGGTAGGCAGTCAAAAAACAATGACTGGGTGTGGCCTGAACTCTCTCTGGGTCTCCTTCGCGATTAGACAAAGCATATGATATATTTTATGTATATTTATTAACTTACAAAGGAATGAGTATCCAGCAGGGACACAGAGCCCGCCTTATCAGACCACACCACATCCATAGTCCCCCGCTAGCATTGGGGCCAGCGATCTCGCCCCAGGTCCACAGGGCCATTCTGTCCTTGAGTTACTGCGCTGGCTGCAAGTTTCCTACACCGGCCCCGCCCATTGGAGGAACCAGCCAATCAGGAGACACTAGGATTTTGGTTTTAAAGGATCACTTTGATGCTAGGGATGTAGCTCACTTGGTAGAGTGCTTGCCTAAAGCCCTGGGTTCAATTCCACAAAAAACTAGGTGTGGTGGCACACATCTGTAACCCCAGGCAGGGAGCAGGTAGTAGAGGCAGGAGGATCAGAAGTTCAAGGTCATCCTTGAATACGTAATAAGTTTGCAAATAGCTGGGCATGGTGGCACAAGCCTTTAGTGCTAGCACTCTGGAAGCAGAGGTAGGCAGATCTCTGTGAGTTCAAGGCCAGCCTGGTCTACACAGTGAGTTCTAGGCCAGCTGGGGCCATAGGAGACCCTGTATCAAAAAGAAATAAATAAAAAGCTTGCAAATAAAATAGGGCTGGAGAAATAGCTCAGTTGCTAAAGTACTTCATATGTAAGCCTGAGCCTGAGTTCAACCCATGTGACCTGTGCAGTTGATAGCACTGGCTGCACTCTTGCAGAGCCAGTGGGTACAGGGTCACCCTGTACCCACATGGCAGCAGACAATTGTAACTCCAGTTCCAGGGGATCCAGCACCCTCTTCTGACCTCCACAGTCATTGCATGTACAAAGTATAACTTGAATATCTTCATACACATAAAATTTAAAAAAGGTTGGGCTGTGGTGGCATTCACTTATAACCCTACCATTATGGAGGCAGAGGTAAGCAGGTCCCCCAGGCTCACTAAGCCTCCCAGCCTAACCTACTCTGTGAGCTAGATGCCATGAAAGGCATTGTGGGTCTCTCCTCCTCCTCATAGGCCGTTGGCCACTGACCCATGAAAACAAAGGGAGCAGAAGCAATGCACAATGAATGGGGTCAGGACGGCCAGTGAGCAAAGATGGAAAAAACTTTCCAGGGAGTCAGATTCAGTGATACAGCTCCGTTTATTCATTGAGGGGTGGGGGTCAGGGAAACATATAGTGTGGAGGCAGCAGCCAAAGCTTCAGCTAATAGGTGTTCATAGTATGCTTTATTTACATGTGCTGGGGGATCCTATCATCTGGCTATAGAGTAATGCTGAGTTATCATATAGAAAAAACCTGGGGGCAGTTTTATTGCAGGTAACTATGCCAAATAAGGTCATGCTCCAAATAAGGTCAGGCATCTGTGCTTGGAGGAACATTCCAGATAAGTCAGGCAGAGAGCAGGAGGCCCCTGCTAAGAAAGGACCTTAACAGCAGGGTTCCCCAACAAGGCATCATCTCAAAACACAAGGTGGATGGCCCCTGAGGAAGGATACCCAAGGTTGACCTCTGGCTTCTACATGCACTCACACATACACATTCCAGAAAAGAAAAAGATAACTTCTATAATCTGGTAGAAATATGAGTTGACTCTATAGCAGTGAGGTTTGCTCACATAAAAAATGAAGCCTCCATGCCAGGCATGGTGGCGCACACCTTTAATCCCAGCACTTGGGAGGCAGAGGCAGGTGGATCTTTGTGAGTTCGAGGCCAGCCTGGTCTACATAGTTCCGGGACAGCTGGGGCTCCAAGGAGACCCTGTCTCAAAAAGATAAAAAAAAAAAAAATGAAGCCTCACAAAGTAGTGACAAAAATGCACGTGAGAAATTTGGGAAGTAGAATTGATAAGATTTAGTGACAGATTGGATGTCCAGTATTAGGGAAAAAAAACTGAAAGATCTTTTTTTTTTTTATGTGTATGAGTGTTTTGCCTGCATGTATGTGAGTGCACCCATGTCATGCAATGCCATGGAGGTCAGAAGAGGGCTTTGGATTTCCCTCTCCATCCTTTGGAGTTAAGGACGTAGCCGCCATTTGGGTGCTGGGACTTGAACCCGGTTCCTCTGCAAGAGCAATCAGTGCTCTTAACTGCTGAGCCATCTCTCCAGCCCCCTTTAATTCTTTTTTTTTCTTTTGGTCTTTTTGAGACAGGGTCTCCCTGTAGCTTCAGCTGCCTGGAATTCCCTCTGTAGACCAGGCTGGCCTCGAACTCACAGAGATCCGCCTGCCTCTGTCTCCCATTCTTTTTTTCTTTTTGTCTTTTTGAGACAGGGTCTTCTTATAGCCCAGCTGTCCTGGAACTCACTATATAGACCAGGCTGGCCTCAAACTCACAAAGATCCGCTTGCCTCTGCCTCTCAAGTGCTGGGATTAAAGGCATGCGCCACCACGCCCAGCCATTAATTCTTTTTTTTTTTTCAAAAAAATTTTAAGTGTATGTTTTGCCTGCATGTAAGTGCACCACGTGCATACATTGCCCACGGACACCAGAAGAAGGCATCAGATCCCCTAGAACTGGAGTTACAGGTGGTTGTCAGCTGCCATGTGGGTGCTGGGAACTGAACCTAGGTTCTCTGCGGGAGCAGCCAGTGCTCTTAACTGCTGAGCCATCTCTCCAGGCCTGATCTTTGCTTTTTTCAAGGAGAACTTTTAGTCAGACATCATCATGTACCACATAAAGACATTTTGGTCAACAGTGGGCAACACCAGTGTCCATAAGGTAACAATGGGGCTGAAAGTTTCCTGTCATCTAGTGCCAGTCATGGCTATCAGTGGTGATGCTGCCGCAAACAAACCTGTTGTGTCAATCATATGCTAGCACAGCTGGGATGGGGAGATGAATGACATACTTGTTAAAGTGCTTACCACTTTTTTTTTTTTTTTTTTTTTTTATACCTGAGTTCAGATCCTTAGCACACACATAAAAAGTCAGATGTGGTAACACATGCATGTAATCCCAGGACTGGGGGAGGTGGAGACATGAAGATCTTTGGGACTTGATGGCTAAATGATCTAGCCAAATCAAGTGCGCTCCTGGTTTGGTGAAGACCCTGTCTCAGAAAAATAAGATGGAGCTGGGCATGGTGGTATATACCTTTAATCCAAGCACGTAAGAGAGGCAGAGGCAGGCAGATCTTTGTGAGATTGAGGCCAGCCTAGTCTATATAGTAAGTTCTAGGCCAGATGGAGCTATAGGGAGACCCTGTCTGAGGAAAAAAAAGAAAAAAGGAGTGTGATTGATAACACCTGTTAACCTCTGGCCTCCACATACATACACACGTAGGTGTACATCCATACCCACACAAATAGTACAGTTATGTACAGTATATAATATTTGATAACAACTCTTATTTATGAAAATTTTTATTACATTTACTGTGTGCCAGAGGACAGCATGTGGGAATGGGTTTCCTCTTTCCACCTTACTTTGTCAGTTCAGGGGATCAGAACTCAGATCCTCAGGATTGGCTACAATCACTTTTACCAGCTGAGCTATCTCACAGGCCCACACTATATTATACTCCTTTTTAAAAAAAAACAAAAACAACTCTCTACATAGTGAGTTCCAGGACAGCTGAGGCTACAAGGAGACCCTGTCTCAAAAAGACAAAAAAAAAACCAAAAACCCAAAAATTATGACAGTGGTGGAGATAAACCCAGTGCTTTGTACATGTGCTCTACTACTTAACTACATCTCCAGTCTTTTTTTTTTTTTTTTCCAGTCTTAACTCTATAAAAAAAAAAAAATTGGACTGCCAGAGAGTAGTGGCACCCAACTTTAATCCCAGCACTTGAAAGGCAGAGGCAGGCGGGAGATCTCAGTGAGGTTGAGGCCAGCTGGGGCTGCATTTTCAAACCCTATCTCAAAAAATAAAAAGAGCTAGCTGGACTAGGTATGTAGTTCAGTGGCGTACACTTGCCCAGCACCACATGGACTTGGTTCCCAGTACTGCTAGGGTGGGGGAGGGAAGAAAAATTTTCAGAAAGCACTTTTTTATTTTTATGTGTGTTATGCCTGCATGTGTGTAAGTGCACCCATGTCATGCAGTACCTGCAGAGGACAGAAGAGGGTGTCATCCTCTGAACTGGAGTTAAGGACAGTTGTTAGCCACCATGTGGGTGCTGGGATTTGAACCCATCTTCTGTAACAACAGCCAGTGCTGTTAACCACTGAGCCATCTCTGCAGTCCCTCAGAAACTTTTTTTTTTTTTTGGTCTTTTTGAGCCCCAGCTGGCCTGGAACTACTCCCTATGTAAACCAAGCTAGCCTTGAACTCAGTGCTGGGACTACAGGTGTGTGCTACCATGCTTGGCTGAAATTTTGAGATAGGACCTCACTATGTAGCCCTGGCTTGCCTAGAATTCACTATATACACCAGGCTGACCTCAAACTCACAGAGATCCACCTGCCTCCGTGCCCAAGTTCTGGAATTAAAGATGTGTACTACCAAACCAGCTGAGAAAATACTTTTGCATAGTTGTACAGTGTGTTTTTATATTTTAGGCTATGTATTATTAGCCAAAAAAGGCAAGGCCTATATGGCACGTGCCTATAATTCTAGTACCTGGGAGGGTGAGATAGACAAGCAGGAAGATTGCAAATTTGAGGTTCAGCCTAGACTACATAGCAAGACCTTGTCAAGATTCAAACTGAAGCCAGGTGTGGTAGCACACCCTTTTAATCCCAGTACTTGGGAGGCAGAGGCAGGCAGACCTCTGAGAGATGTAGGCCAACCTGGTTTATAGCGAGTTCCAGGCCAGCTAGGGCCATAGGGAGACCCTGTCTCCCAAAGAAAAAAAAAAAGGTAAAGAGCCAAAAACTGGCAGAGTATTGTGGCTCACACCTGCAACCCAAACATTTGGGCAGAGGCAGGACTGCAATGAGTTCCAGGCCAGCCTAGGCTATAGAGTGAGGCCCTGTCTCAAAAGAACCAAAACCAAAACCAAAACCCAAAGCATTAAAAGCCCAGACAGATCAAGAATTCAAGGATGTCTCTGGCTACATAGTAAGTTCAAGGCCAGCCTAGGCCTTGAACAAAGTAAAGGTTAATAGCCCAACATTAATTTATTATTGAAGAAAAATATTCTATAAACTTATTGTAGCTTAGTGTAAAGTGTTTACAGTACTATATAGTACTGTGTGTGGACTTTCACAGACTTCTGTTCTGCAAGCCTGAGTGATAGAGTCCTTTAGAGCCAAGTGTGACAGCTCACGCCTGTAATCCAGTACTAGGTAGGGGTTGAGGCAGGACTGCTGTGTGTTCAAAGTCTGAACTGCACAAAGTGAGTCCCTGTCTTAAAGAAGGGAGGGCTGGGCATGGTGGTACACACTTGGGAGGCAGAGGCAGGCAAAGTCTGTGGGTTCCAGGCCTGCCTGGTCTTAGTAAGTGCCAGGTCAGCCAGGGCTGAATAGTGAGACCCTGTCTCAAAAATAAACCCAAAGATGGGGGCTGGAGAGATGGCTCAGTTAAGATGCAAGATTGCTCTTGCAGAGGAACAGGGTTCTGTTCCCAGCACCCACATGGCAGCTAACGGTTCCAGGGGATCTGACGTAGTCTTGTGGCCTCTGCATGCAATGCACACAGGCAAAAGATCCATTACATAAAAGAAAATGGATTTTTTTTTTTTTTCGTTTTTTTGAGACAGGGTCTCCCTGTAGCCCCAGCTGCAGAACTCAGAGATCTGGGATTAAAGACTTGCGCCACCACACCCGGCATTAGAAAATGGGTATTTAGTCAGACATGGTAGCATACACTTTTAGACTCAGCACTCAAGAGGTAAGCAGGTCTCTGAGATCAAGGCCAGCTGGGGAAACAGGGAGACCTTGTCTCGAAAAAAACCCACTCCCCCCCCAATGTATATAAAATAAAAACAGAGGGAGAAAAGCAGCATTCTGTGCTAAGTATTATACCATTTAACTTTTCTGTTTAGAAAAATACCATTGTATTACAATTGCCTATAGTACTGTTTATTAACGATTCACTATCTCTTCCAGATTCGTGGTGCCCTTAATGCCATCAAAGGCCTAATTCCTGAGGCTTTAGAAAGAAAGCCCAAAGCTGTTGTTACTCACAGCAGTGGAAACCATGGCCAGGCTCTCACCTACGCTGCCAAACTGGAAGGTACTTCATTTTCTCAGGGTGCAGGGCAGAATCATCAAAAGAATGGAAAAATACCCTTCATTTCCAAAGGAGTCTCTCTCTGATTATATACAAGATGAACACAAGCTACCTTAAACTTTCTTCTTCTACTAGAAACATGTTTTCCCCCCCAGGGATTCCTGCTTATATTGTGGTGCCCCAAACAGCTCCCAACTGCAAGAAACTGGCAATACAAGCCTATGGAGCCTCCATAGTGTACAGTGAACCCAGTGATGAGGTAAGGAGGAAATTAGCCCCACTGACCAGCTTGTCTGCCTACCTCACTGGATGCTGCTCAGTGTTGTCTCCTGCCTGTGTCAGCATGGACCTTTTCTCTACACTCACTTGGTTGTCATTAGTCTCAATTTAAAACTTCAAATAAAGCCAGATACGATAGCACATGCATATAATCCAAGCATCCAGGAGGTTGTGACATGAGAATGTTAAGTTCCAGGCCAGCCTGGGCTACAGAGTAAAACCTTGTCTTAAAAAACAAAGCCACAGCCGGGCGTGGTGGCGCATGCCTGTAGTCCCAGCACCTGGGAGGCAGAGGCAGGCGGATCTCTGTGAGTTCAAGGCCAGCCTGGTGCTACAGGGATGCCCCTTCTTAAAAAAAACCAAAAAAAAAAAAAAAAAAAAGCAACAACAACAAAAAAGCCATAGCCAGGTGTGGTGGTGCACACCTTTAATCCCAGCACTCAGGAGACAGAGGCAGGCAGATCTCTGTGAGTTCAAGGCCAGCCTGGAGCTACAGGGAGACCCTGTCTCAAAAAAGACCAAAAAAAAAAAAAAAAAAAAAAAAAAACACACACACACACACACAAAAAAAACTCCATGGCACACACCTTTAATCCCAGAACTTGGGAGGCAGAGGCAGACAGATCTCTGTATGTTCAAGATAGCCTGGTCTACATAATGAATCCACGCCAGCTGGGACTAAAGAGAGACTCTGTCTCAAAAAGAACACCCCCCCCCAAAAAAAAACCCAGCTGAATGTGGTGGTGTATGTTTGTGATCTCAGCACTTAAGTACAGACAGGAAGATTAGGAATTTAAGGTGTCATCTTCAGACACACAGCAAGTTTGAAGGCTAGACTAGGTACAAGACCCTGTCTCCAAAAAGCAAAATTAACTTCTTAGTAAACTATCACTTATAGAGGCTGGAGAAATGGCTTAATGGTTAAGAGCACTGGCTGTTCTTGCAGAGGACCTGGGTTCAGGTGCCAGCACCGACATGTACCATCTGTTTGTAACTTCCAGTTCCAGGGGATCTGACACCCTCCAAGGGCACTGCATGCATGTGGTATACTTATGTACATGCAGGCAAACATTCATGCACTCAAAATACCCCTCCCTCATACTCTTTACTCCAGACTTATAGATCATTTCCTATTTGTATACCAGTTATTTCTCACCAAATCCCTGGTATTACTCTGATTGCTCCTATTCCGATCCCCTTTATCTCAGTAAATTGTAACATTTATCTTTCTAGTAGCTCAAGCAAAAAACAATAAAAACAAAGCCTTTAATTTCAGCACTTTGGAGGCAGAGGCAGGTGCATCTCTGTGAGTTCCAGGCCAGCCTGGTCTACATAGTGAGTTCCAGGACAGCTGGGGCTACAGGGAGACCCTGTCTCAAAAAGACAAAAACCAATAAAAACAAAAGCTCTGATAAACCAGGTGAGGTGGTCCATGCCTTTAATCCTAACACTTAGAGGCAGGATCTACATAGGGAGTTCTAGGCCAACTGGGTCTACATAGTGAGACCTAGACTCAAAATTCTGATCAGCCTTACATCTTGTATCTATTATTTAACTACTTCCATAGTCCATTTACTTCTAATAGCTTCTACCATAATCATCTGGATTCAATCAAGCAACAATTTGCAGACTCAGAGCCTAACTGGTCTTTGGTTCAGCCCTAGCCCTCTACAGTGTTTTTAATAGCAACCAGAGCTCTCCATTTAGATAAACTCAAAGTTGTCACCTCATATATAATGTAAATGTTTTTGGCAGTCACTATACTGTCCCCAGCCAACCAAAGTTCTTACAATCACCTAAAGCCTAGATGAACTAACTCATTCTGTTTTCATCTTACCTACTCCCCTCCAAACTTCACACAGTTCCTCAGAAAGGCCAAACTACCATGGTGTAAACTTTGTTTGCTCTAACCACCTCCTTGGAACATTCTTCTAGAGATTCATAGCTTGTTAAGTACATCTGTGTCACTTTTTTCTGGTCTTTTTGAGACAGGGCCTCCCTGTAGCCCCAGCTGGCCTGGGCCTCACTATGTAGATCTGCCTCTGTCTGACTCCCAAGTGCTGGTATTAAAGGTGTGTGCCCAGACATCTGTGTATAGAGGCCCTTCATGGTAAGCCTATGAAAAATACATCCCTATAATTTAACCCTCTCAAGAGCATGTTAACTATTCCACCTAAGCTTAGTGATAGAAGTGTGAAAAGCAGTACACTGGAGTATTAAACGACTACAATGAACTTTATGAGAACTGAACTCACTGTAAGCTAAATTAATGTACCTTTTAGTCCAGAGAAAAGGTCACAAAAAGAATTATGGAAGAAACAGAAGGTATCATGGTACATCCCAACCAGGAGCCTGCAGTGATAGCTGGACAAGGGACAATTGCCCTGGAAGTGCTGAGCCAGGTAAAACAGCATAGGTACAGGTACAGGTAAAGCTGTTTTGCTATATTTAATGTTTTACATGTACATATAAGCCTGCTTATTAACTGGTTGACTTATATACTTTAGGTTCCCTTGGTGGATGCACTGGTGGTACCAGTAGGGGGAGGAGGAATGGTTGCTGGAATAGCAATCACAATTAAGGTGAGAAAATAGCTAAAGGGTTTCTTGGCTTAGGCATATAGGATTTATTTATATCATAGTGCACTGTAGACATAAGTGTTCAACATTTGCCCCAACTCACCATTTGTCTCGTCATTTCTTGGCCCTTATCTACCTCACTGCACTCTTCATCCATGACGTTACAACATAAAAGCAGTTACAGTGAGTCCTCAGTCCTTCCTGAGTCCACCTCACCAATCTACTACCCACACTGGCAGCTACCCTTCCCAAATTACTAGCAGTATCAGATGTAATCCAGCCTACTATAAGTAATAAACACAATTTTATTTATAAAGTACTTCAAGGTCCTATTTCCATTACATCCATCAAAGAGAAAATGCAACACAGAAATGTGTTACCCATTCTGCCTACTTTAGGCAAAGGCTGTGGTTAATTGTAAGGTATTCCCTTACATTCCCTTTCCCAGGCCCTGAAACCTAGTGTGAAGGTGTATGCTGCTGAACCCCTGAATGCAGATGACTGCTACCAGTCCAAACTTAAAGGAGAACTGACCCCCAATCTCCATGCACCAGAAACCATAGCAGATGGTGTCAAGTCCAGCATTGGCTTAAACACCTGGCCTATTATAAGGGACCTTGTGGATGATGTCTTCACTGTCACAGAAGATGAGATCAAGGTAAGGCTTCATTGGGAAAAGAATAGCCTAACTTCATAGAACCTTCTGTTATGAATAGAACTGAGTCACTTCAACAACAAAATCCAAATTAAACATCTCATTTGGTCTTTAGAATTTGACCTACTAGACTCTTTCCCCATTTCCTGTTTTATTAATCCTTACTCCTTTCTGTACCAACAGTATGCAACCCAGCTGGTGTGGGAGAGAATGAAACTACTCATTGAACCTACCGCTGGTGTTGGATTGGCTGCAGTGCTGTCCCAGAATTTTCAAACTGTTTCTTCAGAAGTAAAGAACATATGTATTATTCTCAGTGGTGGGAATGTAGATTTAACCTCCCTAAACTGGATGAAGCAGTGAAAGACCAGCTCCTTACCAGTCTGTTTAATTTGCGCAAAAGAGACAAGATTCTGTGTCTCTAGATGAAAATTTTATTTTCAATCTCTCCTTAAACATTAGGGTTTTCAAAATCTTAATGGAGAACAAGCACTTCAGTAAGATTTATGGTTGGGGATCACATAATTGTATAAAAACCTCCATACTTAGCTGAGACATGTATTAATTCCCAGATAAAGACTTTTGTAAATGGGCAACTGAAACAGAAACCACAAATTATCTGACCACAGTCTGCAGACTCCCACAACTGGAGTGCTGATGTAGCAGTAAGACAGAATCCCATAGAAACCATTATTCCATGTCCACTTCAGACACTGTTGAGGAAATCTCACTCTTCACCCAAGTTACTGGTTCTGGTACATATGGATCATAAGTCCATTTGGGGAAAACTCGTTTATAGAGGTTCATTAGTACTGTATCCTGAGATTTCAGCTTCCCATCAAAACTGCACTTCATGTGGCCATGGGTACCTAGAATTTAGAAAGCAAGGCGAGTTGGTCTAAGTGAAAGTGAAAAATTTTAAAGCTGTGAACTTCCAACCCAAGTCATCTGTTAACTGGGGAAATGAGGATTTGGGAATCCCACATTCTCTTACCCAAAGGCTCCTTAATATGTCCCCGGCGGCCCCACTTGGTTCTCAGTTCCACAGGTTTAAACCACATCACATCCTCTAAGAATGGAACATACCAAGAAGACCAAGATGTAGCATTTACCTACAAAATCTAAGCCCAAGCTTCCTTCCACAAAGGAAATCAGATCCCGTTCCCCTTCATTCCTACCTCTGTTGAAGAACATGTAACGAACTACTGCCATCTTAGTAAAAATTTTGAAAGGATGACCACTCAGAACAACTCTCTTAATGACCATTCTGTCTGGATCTACCGATAACAGATGGCCTGTAGCAATGAGGCTGTGCATTCCTAGGAAGGGAGAGTAGTTGGTAATGCATCTATCTATAAGCCAAATCCTTCACTTGTTGCTCTAATCTATTCTAAAGACCTTTGCAAGATTTTCTTGGAGAAATGTTAAAGTAGCAATGCACTATGCTATCTTCCTGAGCTCACAAAAGACCACTTAAAGAGATTTCTGTTGAACCAGTCCTTCAACCCTAAATATAATCTGAGCAGCCCCTGAAGTTTGGAAACAAGATAAAAAAAGTAGTTTATCATCCTGGCTTAGACTAAGATTGACATCTTGAAAACCATCAATACCTTCTTAATAACATTAGGCCCCTAAGTCTAAATTCAGGAAACAGTGAAAATCCTAGTTAAATACTTGTAGGTCTATTATTCACCACTGTAAATTCAACTTACCATTGCTTTTCTGCTGAAAAAGCAGCACAGATGCAGGAGGAAAAGTGATTGGTGCAAACACTGTCACCACTAAGGCTGCATCAGGAGTCAGGAATCTCTGAAATTTATGTTTATCAGCTTCCAAAATAAGGATCAAAAAAAGAAACACAAAACATTTTTAAAATCCATAGGCAATCCAGAGAGGCCTGTCAAAAGCTGTTATCATTGCCACACATACCACCACCCCCTTAAAATTCTGGCCATCAAAACTGGAAGCCTTGGGCATACTGAGTAAATACTATACCATGATCTACATTATGTCCCCAGGCTAACTGTAACAGCTGTTCTGTTTTTAAAACATTTCATTTGATTTTGTGTGTGTCTGTGTATAGGTTTATGCACAAGAGTGCCAGGTGCCCAAGAGCCCAGAGGCATCAGATTCCCTGAAGCTAGACTTACAGGTAGACCCATCATGGGTGCTGCAAACTGATCTGGGTCCTCTGCAATAGTAGTATGCTCTAAACTGCTGAGCCATCTCCTCCAAATGTTTTTTGTTTTTGAGACAAACGCGAATGTATCCCAGGCTGGTCTTGAACTTGCTATATGTAGGATGACCTTCAACTCTTAATCCTCCCCTACCTCCACTGGAATTACATGCATGCACCAGCTTCAACTTGTTTCTTTACCCTTAAGTTTCAAATAAAATTTTTTCCTGTGTCAGTACAACTAAAAGATATAACCCAGTCCTACCAATGATTTCTCAACTGAGGGTAGGATCTTGAAGCTTGACTAAATTTGAGGTTCAAAAAGTTCTCCAGGTGATCTGGTACTCAATACTCCTAACCTACAGCTTTGTTGTGGCTGATCTCCTATGTTGGCTGTAGAAAAGTAGCATAGACATGTTCATGAACACTGATCAGACTGCTGTTCATCTGTAATGCATTATTATTTCCACAGCATACAAGTGGAGGTTAGAGGGAAAGCCTGTGTGAGTCAGTTCTCTCCTCCCACCACCATGTGGGTCAGGATATTGAACTCAGGTCATCAGCCTCAGCAGCAAGCACTTTTATCTGCTGAGCCATCTCACCAACCCCACAGTACTTTGTATTCCAATTATTTAATCCGTCAACTCTGCCACTGTGCCACCATAACAAAAGCATCCATAGTGAGCTGGGCATGGTGGTGTACCCTTGTAACCCCTGAAGCTAAAAAAAAACCACATCACAAATTTGAGGCAAGCTTAGGCTACATATTAAGACCTTGTCTCTCAAAAATTTAGTGCATAAATAAAAATAGTAAATAAGGAGCCAGGTGTGGTGGCTCACGCCTTTAAACCCAGCACCCAGGAGGCAGGCAGATCTCTGTGAGTTCAAGCCCAGCCTGGTCTACATTTTGAGTTCCACACAAGCTGGGGCTATAGGGAGACTCTGTCTCAAAAACCAAAAAAAAAAGGGGGGGCGGCAGAGAGGGCAGCAATGGCTCAGTGGTTAAGAGAACCTACTGTTCTTCCAGAGGACCTGAGTTCATTTCCCAGCACCTATGTCAGGGAGGTCACAGAAGTGTGTAACTCCAGCAGTACACTCACATGCACAAACCCACACACAGATACATACAGACATAAAATTATTAAGAGATATGCCCTGTTCCAATAAAAGTTTACAAAAACAAGCAGTAAGACAGACTTGTCCCAAAGACAAAGAACTTCCTTAGCATAACTGACGATAAAAACTATCCAGAGCACCACTGACACTGCCTTAATCTTTCTCCTGCCATCACTGAAGGTAAGCTTTGGTAATGTTCAAAAGCCTCAAGTTAGCAATTACCGCACATTCTTACGCCTAAAGCTTCCAAATCTGACTTAAAACCTATTGTGGAACAAATACTCATGGCAGAGAAGCCTCAGCACCACAAAGAAGTTGCGTCACTGGATGCTTCAGACAGGTTCAGATATTTTGAATAAAAACATCATTGGCTCCTAAGCCAGAACACTGAAAATACCTCAAAATTGCAGAGACCTTCAAATTTCAAGCTGTATTCTGCCTTCACCCAAATGTCAGTCTCCCAAAAAAACAAGAGACAATGAACTTAGCAGCTTCCCCACTAACCTACAGTGTGCTGAGAGAATAAAGGTGAGGCTCGGAAGCGCCTGAATCCACAGTGGAAGATCAGTTCTTCTTTGGCTTTCACAGGCTCAGTGTTGCCAGGGTTCCGGCTCACGACCATGTTCAATACTGACATCTGAGGACCAAATAAGAAAGAGCTTCTCAGTCTACGAATACAACAGGCTAACCTGAAAGGCAAGCCAAACAAACAACAAATTCATTCTAAGAACTGACCATGCTAGTTAATGTTATCGTGTAGATGATGATACCTATAGTTGTCCTTTTAATCCACTACATACAAATGCAATAGGCCTGGTCAATGCTCCATGCCTCATCAACCCTTACCACAATCAAAGGCTGTCATGTATCCCACTCCCAATGTGCATGTCTGCTGGTCACCTAGAGAAAACAGATCTGTGCATCGCCCATAAACCTTTATTTTTAAGATGGCTAATTCTTGTTCTGATCTGAAAAACATACCTTTCTTAGAGAAGTCTCAGAACCACACAGACTACATCACTGAGATGCTTCAGACAGGTTCAGACATTTTGGGCATAACCATCATTGACTTCTCTGATTCCTAAATCACCAAGACTGAATCCCAATGAGCAAAATGTCATGACTGGTTTGAAAAAATATTCCTAACTTTCCATTTCCCACAAAATACTGATTTACCTTCTGTTCATAAGGTAGCAAAGAAAAGGCAATCAAGGGTGCTCCTTGCCTGAAATATTCAACCACTGAGACAGGGACATCAGAGATATGAAGTGTGACATACCAGCCAACCTGCCAGGAGGAAGCACAGAACAATCACAGGGTTACCCTTAATGTCCCAATAATAAAGCATTTCTCCAAATGCGTAGAAAGTCTCCTACACTATACTAAAACCAACCCTCACTATTCAAGACTTACGTTCATGGATGTTTCAACTATCCAGGTTCAACTTTTTCAGTTAAATTATCTCTGCTACCTCTTTACTCAAGTAGGCAACATTTGGTGTCAAATAAAAACAAATTATATGCTGGAAAAGAAGACAGGTACCTCAACTCCCTCAGCTTCTGTTTCTTCAATTTCTTTAAAGATCCGTTTTCTAGTATTAATGAAATTTTGAAACTGAAAGATGCGAGCATAATCTCGAGGAAGGTTTTCCTTAGGGTCCCAAGGAGATGTCCGGAAGCTCTTGAGGCCTCGGTATTTTTGAAATCTAGAATATAGGAGATTGAGATTAAGATGGTGCTATATAAGACTCACATCACTTCTAAAATGGTTAAGGCTCTAACTTAAAAGACTCTTTATCATAGGATGTAGCTCAGTGGTAGCAAAACCAAACAAGTCTTTAAGCCTGGCTCTCTAGTAAACACCTGTCATCCCAGTACTCAGGAGCCTGAGAAGTAAAAGGATTGTGCATTCCATGCCAGTCTGAGCTACAAAGCAAACCTCTGTCTTTAATCACTATATATCAAAATCTAATTGCTAGTACTGGACATGGTAGCACACACCTATAGTCCCAGCACTTGTAGAAGTGGAAGCAGGAGGATTAGGAGTTCTAGGCCAGCCTGGCCAACATGAGACCCTCTCTCTACAACAAATAACCCCAAATAGTTTACACTAAAGCCATCCTGTAAATAGCTTCTAACTCCTATTTCAGAACCAACCTAGGCTTCACACAAGGAATAAAGTATTCATAATGCCTGTCAGGGAATGTGGCTCAGAAATGATAATGCCTTATCATTCTGTTATCCAACATAAACTCTGGCTCCAGCCAGGCTTGCTTCCAGAAGATCATCTTCCTACTTTTACAGTCTAAAACTCTCCCGAACATATACATGCACTCAGTATACTAAAAAAAAATCATTCTGTGATCCAACATAAACTCTGGCTCCAGCCAGGCTTGCTTCCAGAAGATCATCTTCCTACTTTTACTTTTACAGTCTAAAACTCTCCCGAACATATACATGCACTCAGTATACTCCTGTAGGAAGTATTTGTAATTACTCTTAATATTTCTTTCATTAGGGTCCTCCAAACCAGTCTATATACTGCTTCCCAGGTGTATTGCCTTCCCATGTAGAGTATTAGCCCTCCAGGAACAAGGACAATGTGATTTTTTTCCTTCTGCATCATGCTGACTTAGTTTGAAGCCATAAACGTTTTAAATAAAAGCTTGTTTGAATTCAGACTTTTGACTAACCGAATTCTAGCAGCCACATCACGGGGGGTGTCCATTTCATCTGGAAACATCTCTTCCAGTCTTTCTTGTTTATATTTCTCCAACATTTTCTCCTCAGCCTCTTCATCTACTTTCTCATCATATAGATCATCATGTAGAGACTCGCCTAAGGTCATAGTTTCACACTCCTCCTCCTCCTCTTCACCACTCTCACTCTGTATAGTAAGGGATTACAAGTGAGCATTGTGGCACATGCTTCTAGTCCTGGCATTCAGAGGGCCGAGGCAGGAAGATCACTGTGAGTTGGATGCCTGCTTGGGCAATAGACTAAGACTCTGTCTCAAAAACAAAACAACAAAAGAGGGCTGAAGAGATGGCTCAGTGGCTAAGAGCACTGGTTGCTCTTGCAGAGGACCCAGATCCAATTCCTAGTACCCACATGGCAGCTAACCACCCCCCAGTTCTAGGGGATCTGACACCCTCTTCTCATTTCTGTAGGCACTGTACTATATGGGTGCACTTACATACATGCAGGGAACACACTCATACACATAAAAATTTATCTTTTAAATATTTTATTATTTTTATTTTACGTGTATGAGTGTATTGCCTGCATGTATGTGAGGGCACCTGTGTCATGGTCAGAAGAGGGCTTCAGATTCCCCTGGAACTGGAGTTAAAAGACAGTTTGTAGCTGCTATGTGGGTGTTGGGTATCGAACCCAGGTCCTCTGTAAGAGCACTTAGTGCTCTTAACCACTGAGCCATCTCTTCAGCCACATAAAAATATTTTTTAAAAATGGTCTGAGGAGATAGCTCAGTTGGTAAGAGTGCTGGGCATGGTGGCGCATGCCTATAATACTAGCATGGAGGTAGAGTCTAGAGGATCCAAAGTTCAAGGTCATCCTCAGTTATAGAGTTTAAGGGTAGCCTGAGATACTAAGGTCCTGCCTCAAGAAACTAAAAACTTAACACTGGCAAGGTAGCACAGTGGTTAAAGGTACTTGCTGCCAACCCTGCCAAACCTGAGTTCTATCCCTGGAACCTAAAGAGTGGAAAGAGAGAAGTGACTCCAGCCAAGTTGTCCCCTTACTCCACACACCAAATAAATAAATATAAAAAGTATTCTTTTTCTTAAAAAAAGCTAAAACCATAAAGTGCCAGGCAAAGAGGCAGGGATGCAACTCAGTTGGTGGACTGTGGTACATTAAAACCAACAAGTGTAGTAGGGTACTCCTATAATCCCAGCACTGGGTGGGGGACAGAAGAATCAACAGGTCAGAGGCATCTCTGCTGCTTAGAACTTGGGATACATGAGACCTTCTGGCAAAAACAACAACAACAAAAAACCCAAAAGAAACAGAAACAACAAAAATAATGTGCTGACCTCAAAACAAAAACCAAGTATGGTATCATATACCTATGATCCTAGCTCTTGGGAAGCTAAAGCAGGATTTCTGTGGGTTCAAGGTCAGCCATAGGTTAGCAAGACCACCTAAAAAAAACGCAGCTATTTCAAAAGAAATCTACCCATATCTGTCCCGAAGGCCAGTAAAATAATTTTACTAGACACTGATTCCAAACCAGTATTACCTTTCTTTTAGTTTATGTGTGTGGGCACATGTATGTATAGGAACAGGCATGCATATGGAGGTCAAAGGACAAGTTGGGTGTCTGTCTTCACCTTCCATCTAGAGATAGTATCTCTTCTTTTGTTGTTTGCTCATTGGTCCTCAAGGTTTCAGGGACTATGTCTCTGCCTCTCATCTTGCCATAGGAGCAGTGGGATTGCAGCCATACATAACCACATCTGGCTTTATGTGGGTTCTGGGGATTCAAACTTGGGTCCTCCCACTTACATGACAAGCACTTTACCAGCCACAATATAAATTCTAATAAAAAATTAAGTCATAAAACAGGTCTCATTTTCTATAATTAGTTATTCTTAAGCAGTTGACAACATACACCTCAAAAGGTCAGGACTACACACTGGCTTGTTTTTGAAGCGGTATACATAGGTAGCTCAATCCTCTTACCTGAAATTCTTCTTCCATAAAACCTTCATGCTGTATATCATTATATTCATCTCCTTCCCTGCCACTTTCATCACCTTCCTCCAAAATCCACTCAGCTTGGTAACTGGATGTTCCTTTAGGGACCTTCTTTACTACCCTGGAACTTTGCTTTAATAAGTCTGTAAGAACTCAAAAAAAACTAGGTAAGCTTTATACCTCCTTTCCCATAAGCATTCTCATCTACGCAGGTTATTAAACATTGCTTGCAACATGAGAAACTAGCAGACTTCCAAATTTAATTTTGGGTGGGATGTGGTGGAACACACCTTTAGTTCTAGCACTGGGAATAGGCCGGTGCCTCTAAGTGAGTTCAAGGTCAGCCAGAGTTACACAGTGAAACCCTGTGTCAAGGAGGGAAAAAAATAGCTGCCTCACAATTAGCACCATTTACACAGCTAAATAAACCCCATGGTGATTCTACGTTTTATTGGTTATGAAAACAAACAGAAAGCCAGAAAGTGATTTTGAGTAATGAAGCAAAGTTGTGTCCAGTGTTTGCTTAGTATAATCATGCAGTATTTGGCAGTTCAGGGGAATAACAGAATTTCTATCACTTCCTCATCCATCCCTGTTAGAGGATGAGAAGCTATCATGTAAAGAGCTAGCAAAATTTTCTAGGTCAGGTAAGATGCTTGCCAGTACCAACCATTTGCCTCATTCAGCTCCTCCTCTGTGGGCCAGGTTTGCTCCCCTTCCATTGGATCTGGAATAGCCTCTGCTTGTAAAGACTCCTGTCTATCAGGGTCTGCCTTCATTAGAACCTTAAGGTCTTCATTCATATCAGTTATAGCATCTGTAGCACAAATCTAGAAAGCAAAAGCAGGTAATGGCCATCAAACATTAGCCAAAAGTATAGCAAATCTAACACAGTGATCGGAAAGAACCAGAAATCAGCCCTCACAAATTAAACAGGAAACCAAAGCATGTCAAAAACTTTCAAATAGCCAGTTTCAACTAGCTATTTGACTAACATTTCAACTCTACTGCTTAGCTCGATTTAAAAAAAAAAAAATTAATTTTTATTTTGTGTGTATGAGTGTACTGCCTGCATGTATATATGTACACCCATGTCATGTAATGCCCGAGGAGGCCAGAATGTCATATTTCCCTGGAACTGGAGTTAGGGACAGTTGTTAGCTGCCATGTGGGTGCCAGGAATCAAACCTTGGACCTCTATAAGAGTAAACGGTGCTCTTACTACTGAGTCATCTTTCTAGCCCCTTGAGGTCTTTTCTAATCGGGACTATCTCGTCATTATATTCCTAATTCATATTAAAAAAAAATACTTCATTTATTATATTTTGTGTTATGAGTGTATTGCCTACATATATTTAAGTGTGCCATGGGTGTTCAATGCCCAGAGGCCAGACGAGGGTGTCAGAGTCCCCTGGAACTGAAGTTATGGATGGTTGTTAGCTTCACCATGTGGATGCTAGGCATCGAACCAAGGTCCTATGGAAGAACAGCAATGATTCTTAACTGCTGAACCATCTCTCGAGCCCAATGCTTTTTAAAACTTTTTTTTGCTTGCATCATATATGTGCACCACATGTATACCTGGTGTCCCTGGAGGCCAAAGGAGAGCATCGCATCCCCTGGAACTGGAGTTACTGATGGTTATGAGCTGCCATGTGCTGGGAACTGCAAGAGCAGCAAGTGTTCTTAGCCCTGAGCCATGCTCCAGGCCCTATTCCTCACTCCATAACTCAAAAGGAATCCACCACTTGCTGCATCATCATGCCTAGGCTCATATGGTCTCTAACATATATATATGCTGTCTTTAACATATTTTGTCTCCTCTGTTGAACTCATAAATCACACACCTCCTTCTCCACACTTGGTTCGACTCTGATGTCTTGTGTGTAGCTTGCTAGTGTATCTCAATTTTCACAGCAAATACCTTAAGTACAGGCTATTTCACTCTTTACTATCAAAGGTATTTGCTATTTTTTCTAATCCAAGTGTTCTTTGAGGAAAGTGGCCATGTCTTGTGCTTTCCATGAACACAGAGCCAAGAGTAGTGAAGAGTAACTAGAAAGTGCTGGATACTTGCTGACTATTGTCTTTTCAAACTAACAGTCTCCTCAGTGACCTAAATGTGCATACTCTGGAATTTGTTTCCATCCTGTGTCAACTTTAATAACTTTATAATATATGCTTTTTAAAAACAATCTATGTCAGGTGTGGTGGTTCATGCCTTTAATCCCAGCACTCAGGAGGCAGAAGCAGGTGGATCTCTGTGAGTTCCCGGCCATCCAGGGTGCACAGTAAGACCTTGCCTCAAGAAAAAACAAACAAACCACAATTCTGTCCAGCCTGAGGTGCCAAACTTAATCCCTGGACCAACATGGTAGAAGGAAAGAACTGAATTTTATAAGCTGTCCTGTGACCACACATATGAAGTGTGTTTTGTAGTTTTAAAATCAATTTTTTTTTGGTCTTTTGGAGACAGGATCTCCCTGTAGCCCCAGCTGTCCTGGAACTCACTATGTAGACCAGGCTGGCCTTGAACTTACAGAGATCCGCCTGCCTCTGCCTCCCAAGTGCTGGGATTAAAGGTGTGCACAACCATGCCCGGCTTTAAAATCAATTAAAAAAAAATCAACAATCTTGGATGGGAAATGTAGCTCAGTAGTAGAGTGCCTGCCTAGCTTTGGGTTTGATCAAGAAATGGGAGGAAAAAAACCCTTACCTCCATTGCTGAGCTTTGTTCCTGTTGGGGTTTAACCACTCTAGGATTTAAAGGGAAAGGGTCCACAGGTCCATCTATCTGTTTCATTTGGAAATCACCATGTCCAACAACATGCAGTAAGCTATTTACATTCAGAGTTCGCCCACGAATGTAGCCTGAGATTTTCAAGGTCCCCACCAAGTTACTCTCTTCACTAGGCACAAAATCAGCAACATGGGCAAAGAGGTAAGTTCGCCGATCCCGAAAAGCAAGATGCCGTTGCTTTTGGTTAGCCAACTGCCTAAGCAGCATTCCTGCCTCCTGTTGGTTGTCTAGTAACAAGAGTTTGTCCTCAGGAAAGCGCTTCTCCACTGCTTTACTTAGCTTTTTTCTGGCATCAATTAGTCTCTTTGGTGGGAGGTCAGAAAACCCCTGGACAGCTAGTGCTGTAAATAGAAGAAAGAAAGGGTTTAAGCTATCAACTTTTTTTGGGGGGGGGGGGCTCTCTCTGAGAAAGGGTCTCCCTGTAGCCCCAGCTGTCCTGGAACTCACTATGTAGACCAGGCTGGCCTTGAACTCTCAGAGATCCGCCTGCCTTTGCCTCCCGAGTGCTGGGCTTAAAGGCGTGCGCGTCACCACGCCCGGCAACTATAAACTTTAAAAAAATTTTTTTATGTGTATGAGTGTATTGCTTGCATGTGAGTGCACCCGTGTCAGAAAAGGGCTTCGATTCCCCTGGAACTGGAGTTAAGGACGGTTTGTAGCCACCATGTGGGTGCTGGAACTCAAACCCAGGTCCTCTGAATAAGCAGTCAGCGCTCTTTAACTGCTGAGCCATCTCTCTAGCCCTCCTATCCTCTTTACTACTTGAAAATCCTTCTCCAGTTCACAAACAACCTAACAGCTCCACTGTGATCTCAGAGACCACTGGGAAACTCAGCATTTAGCTAACCCTAAAGAAATGTCACTGTAAGGTACAACTTCATATTATTCTTCCTCTGGGCAAATGAAATTAAATCACCTTGACTAATAATGTGAAATCACTAATGGAATACTATCCATCAGTTGTATTCCTAAATCAAATGCCAAGCACATAGGGCTGGGTGAGCCAGCATTTGGGTGAGTTCCAGGGAGACTCTTGTTTTACTTTCTTTTCTGGCCTCCAATATTCCATCTCACTTACTATAGGTGGGAAGTCCCTGAGCAAAGAGGCAAGATAGGCAATAATCCCCAGTGCTGTCCCAGCCTTCTAGTGGATCGAGGAGAAACAGGATGGTATCAGCAACTTTGGCCAAATCTAACACAGTATGCAGATCACCTGGAGACAGAAAACACAGGGAAGAAAAGCTAGTTGGCACATTATAAAGAAACATAACTACTTAAACGTAAGAATAGAAAAATACTGTGTATTACAACCTGGTTTTGCATATGTGAAAAACCACCGATGTTTTAAACGGGGGCTTAGTAGCATAAAGCTTCCCCATTCGTTCAAGTACACTGTTCCCAAGTCTTCATCCTGAAGCAGCCGAAGGGCCTCTGGCAGGGAAATCCTGCTGTGCAGAGGCACCACAAGCACCTGATGAGGTGGCCCATCCTTGCTGCCCAGCTGTCTCTTCTCTGCCAGAACCTAGGAATTGAAAAGTTCCAAGAACATCTCTCACCCTGCTCCACTACTGCATTTCCAACAACAAAGCAGCTGCCGCACTGAGGCAGAATCCTTTGAGTGTAAAAATAGCAAGGAAACTTTAAAGCAAAACAAAGGGCAGAATTGCGGGATGTGATGACACACCTTTTATCCCAGTACTCAGAAGACAGGATGGCAGATCTCTGTGACTTCAAGGCCAGCCAGAGTTACACAGAATGTCAAAAAAAAAAAAAACCAACAAAAAAACCCCAAAAACAATGCATACTGCGAGAGCAACAGGCCACATGAGTGATATGCAATGGCTTTCTTGTTTAAAGGTCGTGTGTATGTCAAGAAGTGTGGCAGGGCCTCAGACCAGCGAATGCTCTAGGTGAAATGTAGACCTGCAGGCCCGACCAGTGCTTTGGGCTTATTCGTTTCCGCCTCATTCCGGGATCATTTTCTAGTTTGAAGCCTTATCCACCTAGACTCATTCAGAAGCCACACCATTTCCCAACCCGCACTCTTCTCACCGCCTCCTTTTTCTGCTTTCGGAGCTGGCTGGCGCGATGCCTCTGGTCTAATCGGCTAAGCTGTTTTTTCACCTTCTTGCACAGGACTTTCACTTCCACCCTGCCTAGAAGGCAGATAAGAAGGGGCCGTTTTGCTCGGCCTCATCAGACCAACCCCTTCCCGGCCCACTTTTAAAAGGCGCTTTGGAGCGGGCCCCAGGCCCACAGCTGAGTCCAGACACGGGAATCCGTGAATACTAGCTATTACCCTTTTTCTCCCGTCTACTCACCTCTGCTCTCCCGCTGCGCGGACCCTCGCCCGTGATGTCGCCCGCCTTTATGCGCTTTATTCTGCTGCTTCAGGGGGCCAGAGCGGTGCGCTGCCATGCCGGCCCACGTGCACCAAGTCCGCACCACTTCCGGACCTAATGAGCGCTTCCGGCCCTCCCGTAGGGGCGGGCCTTCACACCGGCGGGGTTCCCGTGCCCTCTCGCGAGGTCTCTTCCACCAGCTGGTGAGTGACGGGTGCCCTGGCAGAACCACCGTGGGAACTTTTCCCATTCTGTGTTCTGCAGTTGGGGGCTTTAAGGCACCGGATGTACTGTGTCCCGGCTTGGGCTCTGGTTCCACGCGGGACATTCTGCTCCTTCAATTTCTGCCCTACAAAGTTGCATGAAGCCGGGCGTGGTGGCGCACGCCTTTAATCCCAGCACTCGGGAGGCAGAGGCAGGCGGATCTCTGTGAGTTCAAGGCCAGCCTGGTCTACATAGTGAGTTCCAGGACAGCTGGGGCTACGGGGAGACCCTGCCTCCAAAAAAAAAAAAAAAAAAAAAGAAAAGTTGCATGATATACAAGGTATTCTAAAGCTCCTCGTTTCGTGCCAGAGGCCATCTGTCACCGAGATTCTGCACATCCATTGATCTTTATGAAGTAGTGACGTGTTATCACTGGACAACCTTTTCTTTCCCTCAGTATTTTAATTCCCTACGTTATCTTGTCTCGCCCTCCCCGGCTCCGCACAAGTTCTGTGCTCTCTGTCGACTCCACCTCGGGCCCCCACAACCCTCAACACGGCCAGACGTGGCGCCCGGGGCTTCGGGCTCCGGGTCTCCACTTTTCCCCCACCGGCCTTGCAACTGAAAGCAAAGGACAAGCAGCGAGATTCCGGGGCGGGGGCGGGGGTGACTGGACCAAGCGCCCGACGCTGGCTTCCCCTTCCCCGTGTGCAGGTGCGGGGATTCTGGCCTCCCAGCGACTCGTGGAGCGGCACCTAGCCTGGTGGCCGGCGTCCGTCCACTCCGCGGGCGCACCGCCTACTCCCAGCGCTCATAATGCGGGTTCGCACCTTCGAGGCGAGAGCAGGCCGGTTGCCATGACAACGGTCCCAGAGGCGCGCGGGCCCGACGCCCCCAGGTGCCCTCAGCCTACGCGAGCCCTGACTCGACTTCCCCCCGCCCCAGTCGCAGCGCGCGCACACCCCCTCCCTGCCGGCTGTGGGAAGGGGCCGGGCCTGTATCCTGACGTTCGTGCGGGGCTCGGAAGATGGCTGCGGAGCCAAGCACCGGGCAGTGGCTGCGGCGGCGGCGGCGGCGGCAGGCGGGGAACGCGGCGGACGGGGGCTCCGCCTTGCGCGTGGGGCGCTGAGCCGAGAGGCGCCGAGGCAGCCAGGGCGCGCGGGGGGCTCGGGGGACCCTTTGCCGCCGCCTCCCAGCCACCCTGGGCACCATGGGCAGCGCCGAGGACGCAGTCAAGGAAAAACTGCTGTGGAACGTGAAAAAGGAGGTAACGCCGGGGCTCTGCCCTCGCGCGCTACCCAGGGCCGAAGTCTCGGCGTCCCAATCCCCGGCAGCTGCGTCCCGGGCCCGGGGGCCAGCTTGGCGCCCCGCGGCTTGTTTGTTGGGTGGTCCCGCAGCTCCCCGCTCTGTAGGCTGCAGCACCCGGGAGTCGGGGGAGGGGTGGCGGCGATTTCTGGAGGACCCGACGCCCCTTCATCGCCTGAGCAGCCGGGGGAGGGGGTGGGGTCCCGGCGGCCTGGGCGGGTCGGCTCCCGGGCGTCTGCAACTCCCCCCTTCCCCCCGCCCGTATTCCTTGAGCATCTCAGTCCTGGCTGCCAGAGGGTTGGCCGCACCTCCCTGTTTCTCGATCCACGCCCACCTCCTTAGCCAGGAACCCGGGTCTTTTTAAGAACGGTTTTTCAGACTCGCATTTTTTTCCTTTTGAGGGAAATCCTTCAGAAAGCAGTGTTTCTCTCTCCTAACCCCCTTTGCCTTGTTAGTGCTCGAAAGCTCATTTCAATTTCGGGGGGGGGCGGGGGGGTGGAATATGAATGACTCACCAGCTTGTGAGAGCTCATCATTGTAGAAGAAATGAATGAGGCCTCCTTCCGCAACCTGACTCTCTAGCTTTGCCTGCCAGATGTTTGAACTCCACCGAGTCAGGAAATTTGACTCCTTTGTTCACTGTTCTGTATCCAGTACCTGGCACTCTTCGGGGGCACTCAGTGACTATTTGGTAAATAAATCTGCTAACCTTGTAAACTGTGAGATTTTCTGGGAAAGCATTAACTTTAGAATAGTCTAGTCCTGATTATGTGTGACCTTGAGTAAAGTTACTTGAACCTTTTTAGTCTCGGCTTTGCTTTGTTTTTTAAATCTCTTAAAAATAGGGATATGCCCTCTCATATATGAACATTTACCATATTGTTTCACTTACTCCTTAGAGTTTTAGGATTTGAGAAGGCTCTGAGCTCTCATCCTACATTCCATGGCCTGTCTCCTGTGCCTAGCTTTGCCTCTCCTTGACAGAGACGTTGAAGCCATCCCTGTTCCAGCTTGTGTGAGCAGCTTCCTGGTGCTTTTGCTATGAAGGGGCCAAGTGAGGCTATCTTAAACCAAGGGTATATCAGATCAGTGTTAACACTTCAGCTTTGTCCTCCCTGAGGAAAAGAAAAATCTCTGTCATCAAACTCTCTTTCTGGGGATAATCACTGAGAGTTCATTCAGAAAGAGTAGAAACAAATGGCTGTACCTGAATAGTAGGTGCGTTGCTAGGGTTATTGGTGTGACCCAAATTTGAGAACTGATTAGCATATTGGGAAATACTTTTGAAAATGTCATTTGATTTTCTTTCCAGTACTTAAAAGACTATATGATTTCATGATAGTATAGCTGGGCATGGTAGTCCTTGCCTTTAATCCCAGCACTTGGGAGGCAGAGGCAGGTGGATTCCTGTGAGTTTGAGACCAGCCTGGTTTACATAGCAAGCTCCAGGACCACTGGGGCTACAGGGAGAACCCCCCCAAAAAAGAAAGATTGAAAAAAAAAAGACAACAGTATGCCATGAATGTGTAAGAGAGTGCAGATGCGCTCGAGCCAAGGCATGCTACTGACAGAGGCCATATTTTCCTGACAAAGGTTGGCCTGCTCTGAACTCTATGTATTTTTCTGGGAGAACCATATCCTTTCATATCTTTTTCTCAGCTACAAGAAGAGGCAGCTGAGGTAGCTATAGGCAAGGCTGTCCCTTCACAGAGGACCTCTTGTATAATTCCAAGAGCATCAGTGAGTCTTCCCATCCTAAATATATGTCCCTCCAGATGCCTATAGATCTTTAGCTGTGCAATTATGCTTTGCTTGATGCAAACACCCATTGGGATGAAATATAGGAAACTTTTAACAGTTTAGAGTGCAAGAATCTATCCCATCTGATCCTCATTGATCTAACTACTAACCATGAGCAGTTCCAGCAAGGAGGAGCCTCTAGATGCTTCCCCCCTTCTTCAGGATTTGGGTGTTCTACCTGTCTTCAAACAGTACAGTGCATGATAGGAGAGTATCTTGGGAGCCATGACAACATCAGATACTGCATTCTGTACAAAGAACAGCAAGGACTGACACTGAGCAGGGTAGCACCTGTCTGCAGTCCAAGCACTTTGGAGATTGAGACAGAAGAATCGCTGCAAGTTTGAGTCCAGCCTGGCCTACATAGTGAGACCCTGCCTCAAAAAAGAAGGAAAATAAAAAGACAAGGACTGTCTCTGCCATGACCTACTTTTCCTGTAGGATTTTACACTAGGTTTGAAGAAATCTGTCTCTGATTTCCAGTGGTATCTGTCTCCTGGCAGAGTCCCCATGCATATCAACAGATTGGCTTAACTGGCACCTCATACACTGCTGATGGGAGTGTAAATGGCTATAGCCACTTTGGAGAGCATCTGGCGATGTCTAGTAAAGCAGAATATATGTATCAGAAGTTTCTTGCCTAGAACTATAAATTCTAAAAAGCCAGCACATATGTTTACCAAAAGACATGTCCAGAAATGTTCATATTCTTCATAACCCCAAGCTGGAAAGTATCCAAATGCCAGTCAATTGGGGTATATTCACACAATTGGGAGTGAACAATCTGCAGTTACACACACAAAAACTAATCCCACAATCATGCAAGCAAAAGAAACTAGTCACAAAATAACCCTACTGTTATTTTATTTCTTTTAAAAAGTATAAAAAGTTGTAAAACTAACCTATAGAATTAGGATTCAGAGGCTGTGCTTGGTGACTCAGGCCTGTAATCACAGCAGCTTGGGATGCAGAGACAAGAAAAATGAAAGTTCAAGGCCTGTATGTGTTACAGAGTGATTCCAAGGTCAGCCTGGGGACTTAGTACGACCCTTCCTCAAATTAAAAAGAGGTCTAAGAGCCAGGAGTGGTGGTATATGCCTTTAATCCCAGCGCTCAGGAGGCAGAGGCAAGTGGATCTCTGTGAGTTCAAGGCCAGCCTGGTCTACATAGTGAGTTCCAGGACAGCTGGGGCTACAGGGAGACCCTGTCTCAAAAAGACAAAAAAAAGAGGTCTAGGGATATAGTTCAGTGGTAGATTGCTTGCTTGCCCAGCATGTATAAAGCCTTGGGTTCAGTTCCCAGCATCACCAAAAAAATTAAAATAAATAAAAGGACAGTAGAGGCCAAGTATGGTGGTGCATGTCTTTAATCCCAACACTGGGGAAGCAGAAGCAGGTAAATCTATGTGAGTTACAGGCCAGCCTGGTCTACATAGTGACTTCCAGGCCAGAAGGGCTACAAAGTAAGACCTTGTCTCAAGGGAGGAGGGGGTGGGGTAGTAGGTACTGTTAGGTAGAAGTGGTGACTAGAGGGGACAATAACAGAGCAGGGGTACTCTAACATGCTGGTCATACATTCTGTTTGTTTTGTTGTTTAAGGCAAGGTCTCCTAGCCTAGGCTGGCCTCAAATTCTTTGTGTGTGAATGTGTGTGTGTGCAAGTGCACGCATGCAATAGCATACTTGTGGAACTTTATGGAGTTGGTTCTCTCCTTCCACCTTTACATGGGTTCTGGGACTCAAGCTCAGGTCATTGGACTAGCTCAGTAAGTACTTTTACTTGCTGAGCCATCTCACCAGCCCAGGCTTTGAAATCTTGATCCTCTTGCCTCCATCTCCCAAGTGCTGGGATTTAATTCAGGTATGTGCACACATATATTCTGTTTCTGTTCATCAAGTCTATAAGATTCTCATACAGACTCTTTTCATAGGTTTAATGAATTTAGATCCTGAATAGAATGAATGGGAGTTGATGAGGCATGGATGGACCTTCCCCTATCCTCAGAAAAGGAGAGGCAGGTTGTGTGTCTTCAGCTTGTGGAAACAGTCTGTACTGGATAGCTTTAGTGTCAATTTGACACACCTGGGTTGAGGGAGCCTCAACTGGGGAATTGCCTTCATTGGTCTGGCCTGTGGTCATGTCTGTGGGGGCCTTCTTGATTGTTGAGTGATGTGGGAGGGCCCAGCTCACTGTGGGTAGTGTCACTCCTGGGCAGGTGGGCCTCTTTTGCATTAGAAAGCAGGCTGAGCAGGGGTCTGGGAAGCCAGTCAGTAAGCAGTGATCCTCCATGGCCTGTGCTCCAGGTTCCTGCCCTGAGTTCCTACCTTGGGCTCCCTGATGAACTGTGACCTGGGAGATGTAAGCTAAATAAACCCTTTCCTCCCCAAGTTGGTATTGGTCAGAGTATTTTGTCACAGCAATGAAGAAACAAACTAGGACACAGTCTGTCTCTGATGGACAATGTGTCTGCCCACCAGCCCTTCTCCAGCTGAGTGCAGATGAGCAAATAGCTTCCTATCCTTGTTCTCCAAGGCAGGACCTTTCATCTGAACTAGAACCTTTGCTCTGGTGGGTTGGTGGGTTTGACATCGCTCTTCCTACTTTTTCTAAAAGGCTTGGAGCAGGCTGTGCTAAAGAATATACTTCCTTAGCCTTCGCATCTTTGTCATCGCTGGGAGTGTCTAAAAACTTAGACTATGCTATTTACCTTTCTGGGGACTTGTTCTGTTGCTGATTTTTCCTTTTTTTTTTTTTTTTTTTTTTTTTTTTGTCTTTTTGAGACAGGGTCTCCCTGTAGCCCCAGCTGTCCTGGAACTCACCATGTAGACCAGGCTGGCCTTGAACTCACAGAGATCTGCCTGCCTCTGCCTCCCGAGTGCTGTGATTAAATGCGTGTACCACCATGCCCGGCTGATTTTTCCTTTTGATGCTGGTGATTGAACTTAGCAGAGCTTTGTGCATCTAAAACATATGCTTAACCACTGAGCTATCCTTTCCAGGAGTCCTTTGCTCAGGAAAATAAAAATAATGATGCTAGGCTGTGGATGCCGCTCTGTGATAAGAATATTAGCCTACCATGCATGTGACCCTGGGTTCAATCGATATCACAGCAAAAATAAAAACCTAAATAAAAGTAGTGATGATGCCCATTTGTTCACAGGTGAAGCAAATCATGGAGGAGGCTGTCACCAGGAAGTTTGTGCATGAAGATAGCAGCCACATCATTGCTCTGTGTGGTGAGTGAACTTAGGGATGATGGGACCTAAGCTCAGAGCTGAGCACATTGTCCTGAGATGAGAAAAAGATGAATCCCCTAGGTTAGTAACTCTCAAATCTGGCTGCAAGTCCAAATCAACCCAAATGCTTTTGGAATCTCTTTGAGCTTTATCACAGACCTATTGAATCAGAATCTCCAAGTTGTAAGAATTTGTTTATTTTTAGTATCCTAGGACAGTAGTTCCCAAATTTTCACCTGAGATCTTGTTAAAATGTTGTCAGCTATGCCATGTCAAGTGTTCCAAGCCTATAATCCCAGCTATTTGGTAGTCTTAGGTAGATGGACCAAAAGTTCAAAGCTTGCCCTTGCTACAGAATGTTCAAGGTTAGCCTGGGCAACTTAGACCTAGTCTCAAAATAAAAGTAAAAGAGAGCTAGGGATGTAACTCAGTGGTAGAGCACTTACTCAGAGTATGTGAGACCCTGAGTTCAATTACCAGTGTCACCAAACAACAAAATCCTGTTCCTGGGTTCCATCCCTGAAGTTTCTGATTTTAGTAGGGCTGGAGTTGGCCTGAGAATCTGTATCTAATGCATTCACAGATGAGATTGATGTATTTAGTCCTGGGACTACACTTTAAGAACCATTGTCTTGGGCAATTTGAATTTGAGATCCACCACTCGTAATTTATCCTTTTAACTTTAGGGAAAGGTTGGTACTTTCTGAACCACATTTTTCTGGTTACTTCATTATCCTAATTCTTCATACACTTGGTTAGATGCAAAAGAATGTAAACATAGGCTAGGAGGAATAGCCAGAATCTTCCATCCATAGAAGAGAGAAACAGAGGGAAGTTATCCATAACCTACCATTACTTTCTTCTCAACATGAAAGAAAAATTGCCTTTGTAGGAAAAAAGCTTATAGCTACATGGAGTTGTTTTGTTGTTTGTTTGTTTCTTTGATTTCTAGAAACTTGATCATCCTCTAATACTCCCAAAGAGAGGGAGGATACCAGGGATCAAACCCAGGGAATTAGCATATGCTAACCATGTGCTCAGAGGGGATGCTTTATTATTAATTTTGTAAATACATTTTATTTATTTGGTATATGTGTGTGCATGCACCATAGGACACATGTGGGGGTCAGAGGACAACTTACCTTCCACCATGTGGGCACAGGGATCAAACTCAGGACATCGGGCTTTGAGGCAAACACCTTTTTTGTTTTTGGTCTTTTTGAGACATGGTCTCCATGTAATCCCAGCTGTCCTGGAATTAGACGAGGCTGGCCTTGAACTCGCAGAGATCCACCTGCCTCTGCCTCCCAAGTGCTGGGATCAAAGGTGTGCGCCACCACACCTGGCAAGGCAAACACCTTTACCCACTGAGCTGTCTTGGTAGCCCTGCTTTTTGACAACAGTGTAGTGAAGCAGAATTGCCCTTTCCATAAGTCCAGCAACACTCTAGATAGTATTTTCTATGCAGCAAAATGGCAGAGAAAAGATGAACAGTGTCTGCCAAAGGAACATGCATTCTGTTGAGAAAGAGACAGAAAAAAATGCATAAAAGGATGTATCTTGGGAAGATAAGTAGTGACAAGATCTATATAGGAAAATAAAACAGAGTTACAGGGTGGGGGGTGATTAGGAGAGGCATCCAGTGAGCAGAAGCTGGGTGACACAGGACTTTGAATCCTTACTGATAGGTAGGAATGTTGGAGAGAAGTGGGCAGGTGCGGTGGAGAGCACGAGAGGATGGATGAGGCACCAAGGCACAGATGGAATTCTCAGCGGGATACAGCTTTATTTCGCACGGGGCACCTTTCCCTAGGGGAAGGGAAAGATGTCAGGGAAAGATGTCTGGGAAGGGAAGGGAAGGGGAGGGGAGGGGAGGGAAGGGAAGGGAGAGGAGAAGGGAAGGGAAAGATGTCAGGGAAAGGAAAGATGTCAAGGAAAGATGTCCACCGCCCACGGGCTGTGAGCTGGGACTTTATATATGGGGGCTTTAGGGTGTGGAAGGGGGAATGTTTGGGGGAGAAATCATGGAGGGGGAAGCAGGTAGGATTAGGGTGTGGAAGTGTTTACTTTTTCCCTCTTAAGATGAGAGAAAAACAGCTTCTAAAATCTCTGGTTATCAGGTAGAATCTGCTTATCTTATCTTTGGAGGTCAAAGGAAAGGCAGGCTGCTTCTCTGCTTCTCAGTAGAGTTTGTTTTCCTTGACTCCAAAGGTCAAGGTGAGGTCCCTGTTGGGGAGGGGGGAAACTGCTGCTATTTGGAACCCTAACACTTACCACTTGAGCCATCCTGGACAAGTTTCTTTCCCTTCCTCCTCCTTCTCCCCCTCCCTCTCTCTCTCCTATTCCCTTCCCCCCATTCTCCTTCTCTCTCCTCCCTTCGCCCTCTCTCTTCTCCATCCCTCCTCCCTCCCTCCTTCCACTGCTCTGTTTTTTTCTCAATATCTATCATAGACTGGCCTTGAATTCACTCAATCTCTTGATCTTCCTGCCTCAGCCTCTTAATTGCTGGAATCATAGGCATGCACCACCATGCCCAGCTTGAACTAGTTTTCTTCTGTCACCCCCAGTTTACTCCTTTAAAATCAGGGCAATAATCCCTTCTCAAATTTTTATGGGGATTGAGTTGACACCTGTGAACATTCCTAGCACTTTAAGAGCGGAAAATACCTTTCTTTCCTTCTCCTTTGAACATCAAGACTGAAGCTAGGTTTACAGGCTTTGGATGAGTTTCCCTAGTTCCTTCCTATGATACCCTGATTCCCCAGTCTACAACAAACACTTAACCCCTTCTTCCTAGAACCCATGCTATGGAGGAAGAAAAAGTTGATGGTATTGGGGGAGCCTTATCAGTGTAATAATAGCTTTGAAGCATCTTGGGACTGCACTTTCTTTTTTTTAAAAAAAAATCTTTATTATTATTATATATATTTTTTGTGCATATGAGTGTATTGCCTGCATGTATGTGAGTGCACCCATGGAGATCAGAAGAGGGCACTGGATTCCCCTAGAACTGGAGTTACAGAAGGTTGTTAGCCAACATGTGGGTGCTAGGAACTGCCATCCTGTAGGTGCCGGGAATCGAACCTGAGTCCTCTGCAAGAGCAGTCAGTGCTCTTAACCACTGAGCCATCTCTCCAGCCCTGGGACTGTACTTTCTACCTGTGCTATGTCCTCTTGATATGAACTATTTCTGCCATTACCAGGACTTTGGAGGGTTGGAGAACTTGGTGGTAGACTTTGTCACAGAACACATTCATACTACAGAAAACAGCCAAATAGTGAAAACAGCTTCTTCATGGGTGCCATATGTGGATGGCCCTGGGAGAGCAAAGAAAAGGACTGGAGGGAGATAGCAGGAGAAGAACTCTGGTGTCCCCCACTCAGGCTGATTAGGTGAGAAACACCTGTCAGCTCTCCTGCAGTTGGTCAAGGATTCCCAACCCTCTGGGAGCAGAGTCTCCTGCCTGAAGCTCAGAGCACTTTTAATCAGACCAGAATGTCATTGAAAAAAAATTTTTTTTTCAATCATTTTCAGTTGTAATAGAACAAAGCCTTCAAGTTTCTAGGGTTTTAAACTTAGTTTGGGAGCAAGAGTTGTCCTGTTTTGCTGGTCCTCTAAGGTACCTAAGGGTCACTAATGCAAATATAAATGCCACAGGGTCTGGCAAAAAAATGTCTACAAGTGAGACGTTCCAGATGTGAGAAGGTAGGTAGGCAGTTGCAGGGACTGCAGTGACCTGCAATGCCCTTGTCCCAGGTGAAGAGTGTCAGCGCCTATTGAGCTGCCATAGGAATCCAGGTCTAAACTTCTCATGGTCTCATTTTAAGAGAAACTGGAAGTCTAGGACTCTGTGTGTGTGTGTGTGTGCGTGTGTGTGTGTGTATACATACGCACGCATGTGTGTATGTTTTCATGGGTGGGTGTACTTAGATGTTTGTGGACATGCTCATAGGCATGTTCATGGGTATGCTTGTTTGTGGGTGTGGGTACATGTAGAGGCCAGAGGTCAACCTCAGTTGTTCTCAGAAGCCATCCACTTTGTTTTAGGGGACAGGGTCTCTTCATTGCGATCTAGAGCCCACCAATTAATCAAGGCTGACTGGCCAGCAAGCCCCAGGGATCTCGTATGTCCACCTACCTAGTGCTGGGATTGCAAGCACACCCCAGCTTTCCTGGCTTTTTACATGGGTTCTGGGGATCAAACTCAGGTCCTCATGCTTAAGAGGCAAGCATTTCACTGAGTCATCTCTCCAACCCAAATCTGAGCTTTTTTCTAATTCTTTTGGGTGGGTGTAGGTGTGATATATGTGTGTGATGGTTTATGCAGGTATCCATACCATTGTGCAGAGACTATAAGAGGGTGTCCTGTTCAACACTTCCTGCCTTATTTCTCGCTGAATTCTCTGGCTGAACCTGCAGCTAGGCTGGCAACTTGCAAGCCCCGAGTCTGGGATTTTGTATGAAATTTCCAACTTTGTAAATGCTCACAACTCATTCCCATTTTTTAAAAAAAATGTGTGGGCCTGGTGCTGGAGAGATGGCTCAGCAGTTAAGAATACTGGTTGTTCTTGCAGAAGACCCGGGTTTGAATCCCAGCATCCACATGGCAGTTAACAACTATCCATAACTCCAGTCCCAGGGGATCCTACAGCCTCTTCTGACCTCGGGCATTACATGACGCAGGTGCACTTACCTACATGCAGGCAATACATGCATACACATAAAATAAAAATTAAAAATTAAAAAATTTTAAAAATGTGTGGGCCAAACAAAAGGCATCTGCAGGCCTCTGCCAGTATGTTGACTCTGCCTTGGGCTCAGTACATAGTAACTGAGGCGCTGATGAGCAGGAGGAGTTGCCAACAGCATCAAGCTGAGGCAACTGGGGCATCTGCTAACACAAAAAAGGAATCCTTATGCTTACTCAAAATTGGTGTTCAAATTGGGCTCAGAACAAGACTGATTTCAAAGCAATCATTATCAGCCTTTTTCTCCCTAC